TCACTGACTCCTTTACAAGTAGGCTCCCAAACATGGGTATCAGAATTGGCTGGGAAATGTAGTATAAATGTATGAGTGTGAGGCTTCCCTACAGAGGTTCTAATTCAATGAATCTTAAAGAGTGGGCACTTGCCCACTCGTGGTGACAGTGAAACCTCTCTTCAATGATTCTAAAAAGCAGTGATTTTGAGAATCATTGCCTTACTTAGCAACATTACACATTCATTCATTTAGTCATTCAACAGACACAGTGAGCTCCTACTCTGTGCCAGACATGCCATAGCTTTGGAGATACAAGAATAGATCACTGACTGCTGGGACATAAGAGGCAAACAGGTGGAAAAAAAATGCAACAAGTGCAATTACAGGCAGGGGCAACTCAGCTCCCAGATGTCCAAAGTGTCCAAGGGAGAAGGGGTGGGAGAAGAGAAGAGGATGGCTGTAGAGGAGGCAGTTTGTGAGTCAGAGGAAGTGGAGGAGGACAATCCATCACAAAACATATTCACACGCAAAGTTTTAATCTCCAGGACATGCTATTTTATCATTGCCTTACAAGCGAAGAAACTGAGGCCCAGATGGGCTAACTTGCTAATTCCAAATATTCCCACTTGGCTCTCATACCAGGCCTCAGAAGTCCCCTCTTAGCTTTAACCTCCTTCCCTCCCACTCTAGCCTCAGGTGTTCTCAGTTCTTTCCAGCAATAGGCCCTGGGTTAGGGTTCGTCTCCTTCCTCCAATCTCTGACCCAGAATCACCTCCCACCGCCCTCTTCCTTTCAGTTGATCTTGTGATCCTGCCATCCATCCATCCATCCATCCATCCAAAGATTTATTTTCCCCATCACCAACTTTTCATTCCCAGGCATGTCTGGGTGGGACTCACCTCTGACTCAGTTTCCCGCTGACTAGTGGGCAACTCCTTGGAGAACACTGCCTTCTCCGAGTCGGTACCGTGGCCCAGGACTCCAGGAGAAGGAAGGCAGAAGAGGAGGTGTCGATAGGTGTCGTTCTGTGCCTCAGCTTGTCCGTACCCCCTCCCTAGCCCCAGTCAGGGGTCCCCAGGGGAGGGGGGCGGCTGAGCTTGAGAACTGCTAATGAAGCCGCAGCCAATTAACGCCCGGGCCAGGGTTGGGGGCGGATAAAATTAGCAGCGGCGGCG